CCTGGGCGCTTATTAAATTTTTGGACCTTGAGAATGGGTGCTTATTCTAGGTTGGCTCTTTTTCGAGGCTGGGCGCTTATTAAATTTTCAATATTTTCAGCAAGTGTAGTGTGTTTATTTTGCAACAAAACAATAAATAGTAACAACAAAACGCGAAGATGTAACAAAGCAAGGTTTCTGTAAAATACTCTGAAGAAAACTCCGTCTTCGGGGAAGTCTCTTAATAGTACTTATTCAATTTTTAAGAGGTGTGAGGGAAAACGGGGTGGGGTGGGGTGGGCGCTTATTCGAGGCTGGGCGCTTATTAACTTTTTCTGCCTTTGGGAGGGCACTTATTCGAGGTGGGCGCAAATTCGAGATTGGGCGCTTATTCGAATAAATACGGTAAATGCAGTTTAAAGACACGTGTAAGCCTGGTTTTAGCTGCTGAACACTTAAAACTGTAAGTGGAGTTATAAAAGTGACGTCATCGTAGTGACCTCTTTTATGTGGACACCTCTATAATTCGGACACTTCACTCTGTCCCTTTGGTGTCCGTATTACAGAGGTTCCACTGTAATGGGTTCAATTCCAAGAAATCAATTTCAAGAAACTTAACCTACTTTGTGACATTTAAAGCAACTGAGTTGAAATAGTATAAAAGTTTAAAAAAGGCGCGAATACTTCTTAATACTACATGTATACTACTTCCTCCACAAAAACATATTAAAAGCAAGGGTTATTTGTTGCCTGGCTCACAACTTACAGTTGACTGTGATTGAGTAAACTGTAATGTGTAGTTCCAGAAAACATCCATAATACCCCACCCTATGGAGGGCACTTTTACTTTAGACCACCCACACCCCTAGAATTTCCATTCCAGGGGGGTGCTTGTCATACACACCACGCCACAGAATTTTCTGTTATCTAACTTAGTTGAGACCCCTCTGAAGAGAATATTAATTTCATCAAAAATGCTGTTCCACTATACTTTTAGTGGAAGATAACTGTATGTTTTCTACGATAAAGAGGGAAAAATCTTTTAACTCATCTTAAAACAGTGTCTAATGTTCTCAGTTTTGCCTTGCATGGAAAGGTCTTTCTTTGTTAATTATTAACAGTGAGTAGAGGTGTGTGTCACAGACAACCAAGGAGGCAATACCTTACGAGAGACATAGTAAACTGGACAAAACTGTCCTGGATTGACGCTTTATTATACAAAAATAAAACAAGCCATAAGGACCCTAATGATATTTTTGTCGTTTAAACAATATTAAATTCCAGACAATGGAATAATATTTTCATGTTGATCACACAAGACGGAATTGCGTTACGGCGTATCAAAACTTGGTAACAAAATCACCAAGTTACACAAAATCACGTAATTTTACAGAAAAACAAATCACATGTTTTTCGATGAAAAAGAAGTGTTGTCATGTTAGAATGTTGTATCCAAATAAATCTTGCAGCAAAGATAACTTGGATCGAGTCATTTACGTGCAGCAGTATACTTATCCTTTGATAAATCAGCAGTTAAGAGAGAGAAAAATTCAAGCTGCGATACATATACATGTATAGAAAGTTTTACAACTCAATTGTAAAACGCAGTTAATAGAGCGTGATGCCCTCAATCAACAACATGTATGCAGTGTTATGCTATAGCCCTTATCAAATCTCATAGAAGTTTACTTGTGGTGGGTAAAAGTACTGGGTAGTACGTAAAATCACGGCTATAGCTGGGAAATTACTGATACAATAGCAATCCTTGGTTTTGTTTCAGAAACACTGTAGCGATGAACACGTTTAAAAACTCATCGGGATTCTAGGATTTTACATAGCAGGACAGCAAAAAACCTGGCAGATAATGTGAAGAAAGAGAATTTTTAAGTGAAAGCCGTCGAAATTACTGTGAATTTGGATTTTCAGTGCAGTTACAAAAGTAAAGAACAATGGAGAAAAACTATTACCTCGGTGGCTTGTTATGAAGTTGTTTGAGGCCACCAGCTGGTTTTGCTGAACGAGAAAAGAAGCTATACTGACGCCTCGATTGCTGTAGTGAATGGCTGCATAGCCTGTATTTGTAGCTGGTTGCTTGTGATTTATATTCTCCATGTCGGATAAACAAGCCGCAGTTGTCTATCAGCGAGTGACTGCGTGAGTGGCTTCGCAATCATGAAGAAACAACACCTGTCTTCTTTCATAGTTGGTCAAGGCACTTTAATTCCATGTATTTTCATGTGTTTTTCGATAAACTTTCAAACATGCTAAGGTGGCTTTTTTGTTTGTTTGTATTTTTCCCAATGAAATTGCATTTTCTAATATTCTAAAAAGGAATTAAAACGATTTGCTTCGGGCGTCATTCTATCCTTCACGAAAAATATTCTCCGTGGCCTCCCGCCCCCCTTTTTGTTAAATTGTTTATCATAATTTAAGCTTAACTTGCTTGCATCGCAGATGCTCTAAACCTTCTGCATAGAGTGTCTGCGAATTAGTGCACAATATCATGTTTGAATCCCGCAGTTGCAAGGACATATGTGTACTGAGCATTTTTGATTGGCTAGTTTGTTACACAGTTTAATGTGATTAGTCTGATTTGAATTCATTGATAGGCCAATAACGACTAATATACATTAGTCGTGTTTGGCCTGTCAACGAATTCAAATCAGACTATTCACATTTAACTGTGTAGCAATTAAACTATATAGAGTAAGCTATCACGAAACAGGCTTGTCGGGATGAAAGTGTAGTTTTTTCCTATTTCCTATATTTATATATCACGCTCTCGTGACCGAAGAGTCAGCTTTAACAACAGTGGTTTTTCTTGCTCTCTTTTTGCGTAGTTTATGCAGTGCATGGAGGTATTCTACACTGAGCAAATTTTATTTTACCACTTTGAGTCTCGCATTTAGAGGTTGAGGAAGCTGGTCTGTTCCATGCATATTGAGCAATTAGTTCCTATGGTTTATGTTTAATACTGCAAATGTTTTCTGACAGGATTTGATCACAAATGCAGTTTACCATGAAATGATTTTCTTTTACCTCTGTTTAAGCCTTGTGGCTAAATAACCTTAGTTTCTTTGGTTTCTCTGAAATGCCTGGACCTTAATAGCCACATGTCTAGGTCTTATTTTTGGCTGTGAAGATCATTTTGCACAATGGAAGCCTAGAACTGTCGGCTAGATTGCAGAATACGTGACAGTGCACCTGCAGTGATTGGAAAACGCTGGAAAACCAGTAGGCAAATTTACAAGCAGATTCTTATTAAAAAAAAATCACAAGGAATTCTCTCAAAGCATTTCCTTGTGCAGAAGAAGGCTTTAAAGTTTGAACTGCTCTTTTATTGTTTGCTGTAAACTGTAAACGATCATTGCCAACTCCTTTCTGTGAATTTTGACATGACACTGTCCGTGCCCTTACCATCATGCACATGTAAGAATTAGGCCAATCATGAGGCACATAACCAACGTTAACCCGCAAGAAACCTGCCTATCAGAAACGCTCACATATGTCTTTGCAACTCTGCAGGATATTAGAACGAGCTTTTGTGCACTAGTTCGCAAAATGGACTATATACAGGCATGGCAATTTGGTAATTTCACATGTGAAATTACAAATTAACGCTGAAATTTCGCGCCAAAATTAAGGAGTAATTCGTCACCTATGATATTACAACAGATACATTAAGGTGACTGCATAAACACATAAATAAGCTAATTTTTCAAATAAAAAGGGTCCAGTATAAATAATTGTTAAATTGTACATAGTTAAAACCCTTTCACTCCCAGAGTCAATTATGGATCCATAAAATTTAGTTCTAACTCTTGAGCCCCTGGACGAAACCCCTTTATCACTACTCTCACATGGTACTATTTGTTTTCAGTATTGGACGAAATGAAATTTCGACTTCTTCGTTAATAAAGTTTTGATTTTGTCAGTGCACGTTTGGAAGTGAAGAGTAAAAACATCAATAACTTTACATACCGCCCTATCATTTCCCGCTGTCTTGCTGGCAAGAAGGCAGTAATAGTTATCCCTATTACGATACCAAAGTCCAAGCTCTCCTGCCACATCATTATCCTTACTCCCCCTAACCTGAGATCAGGCCCAATTTGAGCGGTTCTCATACATTCTCTCTAACGGCTACCGCTGAAATTGGGCCTGATACAAACTATTACAAGTTTGTGCTCGTTACGGCCAGATTTTGGCCGTAACGCTGATTGGCTGTTACAACAATGCTACAAGATCTGATTGGCTGTCGGAAACGCTGGAAGTTGAAAGCGCTTATTCCTCGCGTGGTTGTTTTCGTGAATGATCCGTCGTCGGTGGAGAGAAGGATCGATTTTGCTGTCTTTTTTATTGTTTTATGGTCCTATGGTAGGAAAATATGCCTTAAGAGGCAGTCTCCCTAAAAGCGTTCCACTCGATTTTGGACTCGAAAAAACTTTGGCCTTATCCTTTTATCATCAACACTACTATCCATCCTTATAACGAAACTGCAGTTAGAACGAGGAAATTGTTTATTTTACTGCCATTCCCAGCATTTCATCGCTGAACGATCGTTAGCGGTTAGAATATGCAAATTTTAGATGCCGTTTTACAGGTTTTTTAACGATCGTTTAAAAGTACTTTGGGTCATCAAATCCTAGAGTGTTCGCACTCATTTGGAAGCATATTACTTCTTCTTACTGTTCCAATACCATTTAGACCAATTCTTCGTCTAAAAACAAAAATTGAAAATTGATCGCAACTTTCAATTTTTACTTTTTTTTCCTTAATTCACGTCATTGTAGTTAACAGATGACTGCGGAAACGATTTTCCCGCGAATAGCTAAAATATCCATGGTTCGATAACCGTGTTAATATTGATTGTAGCACATAAGAGCTGTGTGTTTATTTTCTCATTTTTGTTTACAGGGGAAAACGGTAAAAAGAGCTATGAAACATGTTTATCCCTTATACAGGAAAAAAAATAGAAAATCAAAAATTGACATCGATTTTCAATTTTTAATTTTGAGTTGAAAACGCATCCAATCCGTGTCGAAAACGCGTGTTTTCTGGTGGATCTCGATCAGCTCCAGGACCCAGAAGATTTACTCTGTGATGATCTTGGTTCCTGGAATCAAAGCAAAACTTCAGTCAAAAAGTACCAACTAGGAAGAAAGAAAGGCCATGTCACAAAGATCATAAAACAGCCTGATTACGCTGACGGTAAGCATAGTGTCTTTCGTAGAACATTTGTGAACAGGAGTGATAACTCGATGCGAAAGACCATCGTCAATGTGGTTCGTCCCGACGAAAGCCATCACAAGTTGGTCTTTGTGCGTTATTACTTCGAAGGAGAGCCAGAGCACAGCATTCAGTTAAAGCCTCATGGGAGTGCAAAATCAGGCTGTGCAATTCCCTATCTGAGGACCTATAGAAGCACCATGTCAAAGATGGCGACTGCTGTCTCTGGAAAAGAGAAGTCATTGAAGAGAGTTGTACAGCAAATAGAAGACAATGTTGGTGCACTTGAACAGTGCAATTCTGTTGGACAGCTCCCTAGAAACGAACGACAAGTGAAGTACTTAAAGGGCGAGTGTCGACCACCGAAGGTAATGGATCCCATATTTCAAATAACATAAAAAATGAAAGAGCAGTCCCAAGATGGGGAAAAATTCATCCGTGCTTATTTTTTGGATGACGATTCTCCAAAGGTCATCTTATTCACTGATGAGGAGTTAGACGACATTGCAAACTTTTGCTGTAATGATGTTGATGGGCACAAATCAATTCTCTACGTACATGTCACTTTCCAGCTTGGACCTTTTTTTGTGCTGGTTACTTCTTATCGAAATACAACGCTTTACACAAAGAACTCTAGCCATCCCGTTTGTCCAGTCCTTCTTGGCCCTGTCATGTTATGCATGCTTAAGGACAAAGCAACATACATAACATTGTTTCAGAAAATAACGGCTCGTTTACCCGGAGTGAAGGCCTTCTTACAAGTATATTGCACGGATGGTGAGTTAGGAAGCACTTCGCGAGGCGTTGGGACAGGAGTTTGAGAGGTCCGTCTCATTCTTGTGCAAACTGCACGTGAAACAGAACATCAAAGAAAAATGCTCCAAGCTGCAGATGTCGAAAGCTGCCACTGAAGTCATCGTCAATGACATATTTGGATCCGAAGGCCTTGTCCACGCGTCGGAGAAAACTGAATATTTGGCGAAAGTTGAGGAGCTAAGAAAGAAGTGGGACACCTTGGAGCAGAAGGATACAAGGCGAGATCCGCAGTTTGCAACGTATTTTGTGAGACACAAAGCCGATGAAGTATAGAACCATTTGTCAGCAAAGGTATCCAGAGAAGCCGGGTTTGGTGATGAGGTTCAGTGCAACAATGTATCCGAGTCTGTAAATGCTGTCTGAAGAGATGGCAGAATTTTGAGCCGAAAGACATGAGCACATTCGTGGATGATATAAAGGAACTTGTTGACAAACAACGAAGTGATGTAAACAGAGCCTTTCTGGGACTTCATAGTCCGTACTTAGTACGAGAAGAATATCGAGACCATGTAAAACCGAGAGCGTTTTAGATGCCACACTGGAGGAGCGTAAAACCATCATGAAATCCGTAAAAGTTTTGGTTGACCCCACACGATACCAGGAAGTACCCCGTTACCGCACAAAACCAGGCCTCCCGCACACGCTGAACACACCTGCCTCAAATGTTAGTAGCGGCAACGATGACTTTGAAGGTTCTAGTGACATGGGAAATCTGGAAGAAGACCCCGTCGTTGGTGTAAGGGTGGGTACAATACTGGAGTGCTTGGAGGGTCTGCTGGATACTTTTGCAAAGAAAGATGTGGAAACTCTGGCAGATAAGGCTGTCCGTCTCCAAACTGACGATGGCATTCGTACAGGATTTGACAAAGACACATTCTTTGTCAGGAGCACCTCCACATCGAAGCCCCATATCGTTAAAAGAGTAGGGGCCGGTTTCTCTTGTGACAAAGAATGCCTGGGGTTTGTGTCACGCAAAATTTGTGCACAGACGGTGGCAGCTGCTGCAGCTAGTCATTGTTTGTTACAATTCATTTCCTGGTTCAAGAAAAGCAGGCGAGGAAAAGAAAATTTGACGTCCTTGACGACATTCTATGTCAACAGAGCTGCAGGGAAAAAGAAATCCAGTCAGACAATAAGGCACCGTAGCAAGCCACGTGATGTGATGACAAACATGGCTGCCTGCAAAGGCACACTTGGTGATGCCATCGCTCAAACTAACGAAGAATATGCCGCTATTTCAACCTCCGATTTGCGTATGACAATTCGAAGGGCCAAACCGACTAAACCGTTGGTTAATCCTACAACCAGCACCCCCTTTGAACTTTTAGAAATTAAAGGGAAATCCGAAAATGCGCAGGATGTGGTGGCGAACTTAAGGACGGACCGGATCCATTTCTGAAAGCCGACCTAGATCAGAGAATGTGTCTTCGCCACAAAGAGCATGATTATGTCTGGATTAAAACGCAGAACTACTGGAAAAAAAACTTTTGACAATAAGCATTTTCATCTGTATCGCAACTGTTTAGTGGGGCGAAATCCAAGTTTCAATCTGAAAGTGTTCGAATGTCTATTCCCTGCACATTGAATGCTGCAGACCTTCATTTATTAACGGAAAGGCTTGATCAAGCATGTTAAGTTTCTGCAAATTTGAACGTGTTTGGATGTTTAAGCACCTTAAGGCTTGGATTTTTTTTGTCTCCACCACCGGCGAAGATTTTTATTCTAAAAGTTTCTGAAAATTTTCGGGAAATATTATTTTGGTGCGTTTTCTGATGGGGTCACGTGACACGTGATGTCACAATGACGTTCAAAAGAATTTTCAAAATGTGGTAGGAATGGTTAATTTGATGTACTTTCAAACTACGTATAATTGTTTGGTTTTCGTTACAAAGATTTTTCGTGGCTGTAGGGAAGAAAAATTTAAAACAATTAAAAAGATATTATAAGATAAGCAGTGTCACGTGACATCTTTTTCTTAATTATTAATTAGATAAAAATGAATGTCAACCGTATTTCATGCAAGGAACAATGATACAACTGAGAAGAAATACTGTATTTGATTTTTACTGTGTGGCATCTCGCCACCCCATTTTTCATTTTCTTTTCTTTCCTGCACTTCACTATAACGGGTCATGTGACACAAATGTCTGGTTTCTTGCGTAGTAAGAAAGTCGAGATTAACGATTAGTCCAAGGTTACAAATTTTAGAAGATTTTTAATAAATTTTCACACGGTTGATCATTTTAAGATATTATGCATATTAGGTTCAACCTATCAAAGCATTAATACGCTTGAGTGATTTGTAAAATTGATTTGTAATTTTGCCTTGAAGACAAAAATAGTTGGGTTTACTTCACTAAATTATGTAAAGTAACATTACGCAGGTCACGTGACCGCAAACTGCAAAAGACAAAGTATATCGTTCCTGTTGCAATTTTTCACTTATTTGTGTTTAATGACAAATGAATAAAACACTTGCTTGCTGTTATTACTTATGGTTCTAAATTGCCATATGGCTGGTTGTTTTCGTTAATTCCTTACGTCCCACGGGACTACTGCCTCTGCTGTCATTTTCACTGAGGACATTAATTGCGTAAACTTCACCCAAAGCAGTAATTTTGTACTGTTATGTAAAGAAATCGTAGTATTTTAGTCTGTTCATTTTATCAACACTTTCAAAAATGCGTATAAAGAGAATGAACAATATATGTTATGTACAAACACTATCCACAAAGGACTGCAAAGGACCGCAAACGAATATACCGAAGAACGTAGGATCTATAAAGACCTGAACAGCAAAAATAACAAACAGTCATTTAGTTCTGCAAGCAGAATACTGCAATGCCGATCGTACAACGTGAACATTAACTTTGCAAGACATCAACACGACACCGAAAGAACTGAAAACAGAGCGGGATTGTAGCCATAGACAGCCGTTTTCATTTTCACGTAGTACGATCAGCACTGCAGCATTCTGAATGCAGAATTTAATCTGTCAATATATGTTACCTGAACTTTATCTCCTCTGATACTTTGTCTTTGCAAAAGAGCAAGTAGGTATTAAAGACCGCTGACCAGATGGGTATGAGCGCTTTGGTCTTCAATGTCGTACCCAGACTCTTCAGGCCGTGCAGCTTCGTTTGTTTGTTTGTTTGTTTTTTTTTGGCGTCTTTGTAACAATTGACTAGAAATAGACCGCGAACAACCTCTTACTTTATGACACGTTCCTGACACGGCAAATGACTCAACATTAACAACTCATTTAGTGTTAGAGAGGAATTCATGGCAGAAATTTATTATATTTTATTATATTATTTATATGCAGTTTCCCTTTTAAATATCAAAGAAATAAGAAAATTGACCACCCCCACACCATGGCCTACCCCATGGCCTACCCCATATTTTGTCCTTACCCCGAAATTTGAGTTGAAACCTTCAATTCTGAATCGCGTTGTGCCACAAGTTTTATTGCAGAAATTGACAAAACAGCTATTAATCTTTAACTAAAACATGTTTTTAAGTCTAGTTTAGGTGCCACTTTTGAGAATTTTCTGATGATTTTGAGGCATTTTTTCGTACCGTTTGCTTTCTTAATTGGATTAGCGAAATAAAGACGACCAGTTTTTGCTGATTACAGAAAGATAATGCCTAAACGGTATTATAACAGTAAGAAGAAGTAATATGCTTCCAAATGAGTGCAAATAGTCTAGGATTTGATGACCCGAAGAACTTTAGAACGATCGTTAAAAAACCTGTATAACAGAGACTAAAATTTGCATATTTTAGCCGTTAACGGCCGTCCGGCAATGAAATGCTCGGAATGGCAGTAAAATAAATAATTTTCTCATTCTAACTGCAATTTCGTTATTAGGATGGATAGTAGTGTTGATGGTAAAATTATAAGGCAAAAGTTTTTTCGAGTCCAAAATCGAGTGGAACGCTTTTAGGAAGACTGCCTCTTAATATGTGCCATGGAAACTCAGAAAATTCATGTGGTTGTTCATATCTTCTCAGGATTTGCCTTATTTACGGAAAGTGAGTGTGTCGCGGAGTTGAATCCCTCTGCAAGTTGTTGACCGCTAACAAGGTGCATTTTGATTTACCAACAAACGGGTGCAAATCAAAATACTGTCCATCTTAAAACTGGTTTCATTCGAAAGTTTAGCCGGGAATGACTTCTCTGAACGGGGTACGCAAGCGGAGGCTCACTGCGAAAGAAACCTCAATCGCCAACTGTGAAGTATTAGACGAAAAATATCGCATCGCTGTTCAAGGAATCTTTAGTGTTCACAGACTGGTTGTTTGACTACGCTTTTTGTTAAAAATAAACAAGAAAACTGCTGTCCTCGCTCGTTGGCTGTTTGCTTTTGTTTTTAAAGATTTATGTACTGAACATCGGGGGAAACTGCCGAGGAAAATATCAAGACAACGGAAAAATAGAGATTTCAGCATTTTAAATTCCAGAGCGCCTAGCCAAAATAATAAAACTAGTAGAACATCGTGTCGCCGTCCTTTCGAAAACTTTTTACCTTCTACGCCAACAGAAGTAACCTTCGAGATCTCCCTTAATCTCGCAAGAAGTTAAATGTGATTGTGCTGACTGTTTTATTTTTAGCTGAAAAAATTAACAGATAAAAGCTATTTTTTAAGTCAGCCAGTCTGCATTTTTCCCACGCGTGAAAAATTTGCATACTAGAAAAACAAGCAACGGAAGTAATTCTGATTGGCTGATTCGGCAAATGTCAATCAATCAAAAAAGTGGGCGGCAGAGATTTCGTTAAAGGTTTGTATCAGGCTCTCTCTTCGTTTCGTCTTGCCCGCCGGAATGTAATTTTCAAAACAAAACGAAAATAGAGCCTGATCTCAGGTTATACTCCCCCATGACACTGTTCCACGTTCCACACAAATCTGTGTAAAGCCCCACTGACTGAGCCGACTGAGCCAGCCGGCCATTTTGTTTATTGGAAGAGCACCTCGTCCCCAGTCTCTCATCCTACTGAAAATCGTACCTGCCGCAAGGACTTATGGGCTGCATTTGTGCTCTTAGGCGTTTTTTCAAAATAGCTCATATGTCAGTGGTGTGAGCGTATCTATCTTTGTGGCTTTGTATCTTTGTAGCTTTGTATCTTTGTATCTCTCTAACTTTGTATCTTTGTATGTTCGGATGTTTGTTGCAAGAGCCAATAAGGTTGAAGGTACTATGAGTTGATGCTTAGGAACCAATGAGATCTTGGCATCTACTTAAACATGACATTGCTAAAGGTCGAACAAGGGCACTTTGAGACCGCCATCTTGATTCTTGACAATTTTACAGGTGTTTGGAAAAATTATATTAAATATCTTCATGATTCAAACGCTGTGTACAGTGATGCAGCTGTTTAAGGGTTCATATTTTAGTGTGGATGCTATTTCAAGACATTCCTGACCAAATTCGGCTATCGCGAACGGTACTGACGCACGTATTTATGAGTTGTGTTTCACAAGGTAGAGTATAAAAGACCAGATATTTTCAAAGCTCTTCCAACAACAACATAAGCTTTATTACCAAAAAAAAGTTAACTTAATTTACAATATAATATATTAATACAAAAAAAGGTAACATTTACTCAGAATAACTAAAAAGCTAATCGAGCTGAGTAAAGCTAAATAATGTCCAGGCATAGGAGGCAGGTTGGCACTAAAGCTAGAAAAAGCAAGGAATTAGTAAATAGATAAAAGGAAAAAAAATGAAAAAGGAAAAAAAAAAGAAAAGACTCACGAACAGTAAGACTGTAAGATGTTTGACATGACTTTATTTTTAAAGGATTTAAGGGGGAGGTGTTTGATGCTTTCATCAAGGTTATTCCAAACTTTTACAGCCGCGAAGGGAAAGTTGAATTTACCATAGTTTGTTTTGATAGTATTGAGGTAATAGGTTGATTTAGAAGCAAGCCTGGTATTGTATGAGTGTATGGATGCTACCGTTTTAAAGAAATTTTCAAAGGAAGATGGAAGAAGATTATGGTGATAGTTATACATGAGGAATGCATTGTGAAGGGTAACAAGATCAGTTAATTTAAGAATGTTTAATTTCTTAAAAAGAGGCTCAGAGTGATCACCTGGTTCCGAAAAAGTTAT